GGCTGGTGTTGGTTCCGGAAATCAATGTTCCCGCGGCCGCCGCCGCCTCCGATCACGCCTGCTGGTTGGTGGTCTGGTTCACGTTCAAGTATGTTTACTGACACAAGAAAGAAATACATCTCAAGGGGATAGAGTAGTTTAGGCTATTTCTACCCCCCTTAAGTGGTCTGGTCAACCACACTTGAAAAGTCATAGTCCCTTGAGTGTGGTAGCTGCAGGTACACTTAACCCTGACACTTGTGTGGTACCTCTCTGGGCCCCAGGGTGTGGTGGTGGGGGGGGGGGGGACCTTGTATTTGATCCCCTCTTGATATCCGCCTGGCTGCTGCTGCTGCTGCTGTTTTAGCTTCAGCTACTGGGAACCAAAAGTTGTCAGTAGCACGGTCTATGGTGAGCCCGTAGTGGACTACCCTGGCACAGGAGCGGGGCTGGTACTGTGTCCGCCTGGCTAGGAGTGAAAGCTAGGGGCTAGCTTTGTTGGGTCATCCTTGCCCTTGTTTGCCTGTGTGTGGAGGGGGGGGGGGGGGTGGGGTCAGCCTGGCCGGCTCGCTTTGTTGCTCGTCTCGTAAAATGTTAATTTTGCGGCGAACCTTGACATGAAGGAACTATTATTATTATTTTTATACTGAGGGCCTATACTTCCTTCTGGGTACAGGTATGAGGAAGAGTAAAGGAGCAATAAGCAAGAGTTGTGTTGTGCACAGTCGTCACTACCCGGGCCCCCTCCCCCCCCCCCCCCCGTCTTCTACCCGTCATGTATTCTACTCAATTTCAGTTGTATAAAACGTGAACCGTTTTTTGTGTAAGTCCGGACATTTCATCCATTGTAGGCTCTGTATTGTGTGAGGCTGGGTTGAATTATTCGGTGGTCATTGTACATTGTATAGACGGCCTTCTGAACCTACCATTCCCACTCCTCACGCCCCCCCCCCCCCCACTCCTCACGCCCCCCCCCCCCACTCCTCACGCCTCCCCCCCCCCCCCCACTCCTCACGCCCCCCCCCCACTCCTCACGCCCCCCCCACTCCTCACGCCCCCCCCCCACTCCTCACGCCTCTCCCCCCCACTCCTCACGCCTCTCCCCCCCACTCCTCACGCCTCTCCCCCCCACTCCTCACGCCTCTCCCCCCCACTCATCACGCCTCTCCCCCCCACACATCACGCCTCTCCCCCCCCACTCCTCACGCCTCTCCCCCCCACTCCTCACGCCTCCCCTTCCCCCACTCCTCACGCCCCCCACTCCTCGTTGTCACGCAACTGTCAAGTTCATTTGACAAGATGTGGCCGACAAGGGATGCTGCTTCTCTCCCGAAACGTGTTCCTTTTGAGGTGTTGCCCTAATGTTGTCTTGCCTTAATGTTGCCTCCAGTAGGGCGGGCCAGCCCACCCCGGCAGGTCAGGGGGGGGGGGCGGGCCAGCCGGGGTTTCCCAGGGCGGTGATGACGTGGTCTTCACTTCTCCCACAGGTACACAGGTAATACCAACCAGGTATACATGTGCAGTGTGTGTGCCTGCACCTAGCTCTTGGACCCTGTTTTATACCTGTTGCTTGTCTAATGTATTGACTCAACCTTTTTTCTGTCATATACTACCTAAACCCCCGTCCTCCCCCCCCCCCCCTCTCTCTCTCTCTCTCTCTCTCTCTCTCTCTCTCTCTCTCTCTCTCTCTCTCTCTCTCTTTCTCTCTCTTTCTCTCTCTTTCTCTCTCTTTCTCTCTCTCTTTCTCTCTCTTTCTCTCTCTTTCTCTCTCGCTTTCTCTCGTTTTCTCTCTTTCTTATGCATAGTTTTAAATATATTATAATAATAGGAAAAACAAGAGAACAGAATCTTGACCAGACCACACACTAGAAGGTGAAGGAACGACGACGTTTCGGTCCGTCCTAAACGTGTTCGTCCCTTCTCCTTCTAGTGTGTGGTCTGGTCAACATACGTTAGCCACGTTATTGTGACTCATCGCCTGCAAGAGAAGAGAATCACTGCGAGGAACTAATGATGGTCATTGTTATTGTTTTTGGACTCAGCCACTGGGAACCAAATGTTGCAAGTAGGACGGGCTATAGTGAGCCCGTAGTGAATTTCCCTGGCACAGGAGCGCGCTGAAACTAATGATGATCGATAGGCAGGGTTTTAATTGGTGAGTACACCGTCCACCAGACTAGTCCCAGAGCTGAGAGGTATGAGCTACGAGGACTACAGGTGTTAAACCTCACGTCACTGGAAGACACAATACAAGGGGACATGATTACCATATACAAAATATTCAGGGGGAATACACACGTCAGACAAGGACCACCACATTTAGCAGGGGCAGTACACCAACACAGTGACACAGCTGGAAACTCAATACCCAAATGGTCCACACACACACACAGTATGATTTGTTCAGTATCAGAGTAGTGTTCAATGGAATGCACTCTGTGACTAGGAAATGTTGTGGCTACCTAACCTTGCGGTGGTTCCGAGGATCAAGGTCCCCACGGCCCGGTCTCACACCAGGCCTCCTGGTTGGTGGGCTGGTCAACCAGACTGTTTGACGCCGCTGCTAGCAGTCTGACGTATGGATTACAGCTCGGTTGATTGTCGGGGTTGAAGGTAATCTTATCTTCGGAGGCAAGGTGCTGTTGACGAGATGAGTGTAGCGAGATGAGTGTGAGGGTGTAAGTGTTGACGCCTCCGGCAAGTGACGAAGGTCCTTGACGGAGAGCAGGGAGTGAAAGCTGAACCAGTTGGTGGGGGAGGAGGTGGAGGGGAGGTTTGGTTGGGGAGAAAGCAGAGGCCTGGCTGGTGTTGGGGAGACAGGTTCCTGCTGGAGAGATGGTGGCTCCTCTCACCTGCTGAGAGAGAGAATGTTGTTGATATTAGTTTACTTCATTTATTATACCCATCCTGTGGGCGGTAGTGGACCCCCTACCCATCCTGTGGGCGGTAGTGGACCCCCTACCCATCCTGTGGGCGGTAGTGGACCCCCTACCATCCTGTGGGCGGTAGTGGACCCCCTACCCATCCTGTGGGCGGTAGTGGACCCCCTACCCATCCTGTGGGCGGTAGTGGACCCCCTACCCATCCTGCGGGCGGTAGTGGACCCCCTACCCATCCTGTGGGCGGTAGTGGACCCCCTACCCATCCTGCGGGCGGTAGTGGACCCCCTACCCATCCTGCGGGCGGTAGTGGACCCCCTACCCATCCTGTGGGCGGTAGTGGACCCCCTACCCATCCTGCGGGCGGTAGTGGACCCCCTACCCATCCTGTGGGCGGTAGTGGACCCCCTACCCATCCTGTGGGCGGTAGTGGACCCCCTACCCATCCTGTGGGCGGTAGTGGACCCCCTACCCATCCTGTGGGCGGTAGTGGACCCCCTACCCATCCTGTGGGCGGTAGTGGACCCCCTACCCATCCTGTGGGCGGTAGTGGACCCCCTACCCATCCTGCGGGCGGTAGTGGACCCCCTACCCATCCTGTGGGCGGTAGTGGACCCCCTACCCATCCTGCGGGCGGTAGTGGACCCCCTACCCATCCTGTGGGCGGTAGTGGACCCCCTACCCATCCTGTGGGCGGTAGTGGACCCCCTACCCATCCTGTGGGCGGTAGTGGACCCCCTACCCATCCTGTGGGCGGTAGTGGACCCCCTACCCATCCTGTAGGCGGTAGTGGACCCCCTACCCATCCTGTGGGCGGTAGTGGACCCCATGCCCCCATACAGGCAGTAGCACCAGCAACAAGAAGGCCCTACCAGCCACCAGTATCAGTAACAACAAACATTATTGCTACCACTGTACCGACTACTACTATCACCACTATCCTCTGTGTCATGTTGACAACCATATTTAATTCCAATAACAAGATACAAATCATTATGCGCGCGCACGTGCACATGCGCGCCATCCCTGCCTAGACATGCGGCCAGAACACTGCACATGTAAAGTGTGGCCGCAAAACCTACCACATACCGCCTCCCAACTCCAACAACATGATTGCCCGCCGTTCCTCGGCCCACTGTGTGCCTCTTAACCTTTCCCATGACTGCTTACAGGATGGGATGGCGCGCATGTGCGCGTGCGCGCGAATAATGATTTCTATTTTGTTATTGGAATTAAATATGGCTGTCAACATGACATAGAGAGGATAGTGGTGATAGTAGTAGTCGGTACAGTGGTAGCAATAATGTTTGTTGCTACTGATACTGGTGGGTTTAGCTAGGCCTACTTGAGGCACGTGCTACTGGGTAAATACTGGTTCGGTAACAGGGTTGTTGATTTGTGGAACTAATTACAGCGTAACGTGGTGGAGGTGGGGTCCCTCGATTGTTTCAAGCGCGGGTTGGACATGTATATGAGTGGGATTGGGTGGTTATAGATAGGAGCTGCCTCATATGGGCCAATAGGCCTTCTGCAGTTACCTTTGGTCTTATGTTCTTACTGCTCCCTCCCCCCCCCTCCCCCCCCCTCCCCCCTGCCCCTACTACCAAGGCTTGTCATGGGCCTCAGGGCTCACAGCTTACTGTTAAGCATTTCACACATCTTGACTATTGGACGCTAACTATTCGCTAGGTGTTTGAGACGTCTCGCAAGTAATTGCTTGTAAATGGAGATTGTGTAAAAGAATCACAGCATCTAACCAACGAATTTGTGTAGGTAAACAAACGTTGTTGTTATACATTCAGGTACTGGGAACCAAAAGTTCCAAGTAGCACGGGCTATGGTGAGCCCGTAGTGGACTTACCTGGCACAGGAGCGGGGCTGTAGTTTGTGGAGGTTAACGAACGAACATGAACGAACAATTCGCTCTAATGAACGAATTCATTACGAATTGAGTGAGTTATTTGCTGAACGAAGGATTGCAAATGAAATACAACGAACATTAGTGAATGTTTACACGCATAAAGAGCGAATAAAGTGCTAACGAACAATTTAGGAAAACATAACATTGAGACTGAAAATGAGCACAACATTTCCTGAACGATATTGTTAAAATTATCTTGTAACGTGTCTCTTTCCCACCAGGTCTTAGAGGCGCTAAACTTGTTGACTGTACTTGGTCAGAGGTTCTCTGGCCCCGTGCACGTAACTGTGGGTACAGTGTAGACCCCCCAGGTACAGGGGGTACAGTGTAGACCCCCAACTACAGGGGTACAGTGTAGACCCCCAGGTACAGGGGTACAGTGTGGACCCCACCCCCAGGTACAGGGGTACAGTGTAGACCCCCCAGGTACAGGGGTACAGTGTGGACCCCAGGTACAGGGGTACAGTGTGGACCCCAAGCTACAGGGGTACAGTGTAGACCCCAGGTACAGGGGGGTATTATCGTGTTTAAAAAGTGTTGTGTGAAGGCTCCTCCGGGCATCATGTGAGAGAGGTGAAGCAAGTGTGTATATATATATTAAGTGTTTCAGGAAAAGTGTAGAGGTCTTCCAGCCGGCGGCGTCATATATTTGGTGGATATGTGATTATTCTCAAGTGCAGTTAAAATTTTGCCCCGAGGGGCGAGTTTATTGTGCAGCGCCATCTTAAGTGCAGTGTTTTGTGTGGTGACTTGTGTGGGTGGTGTTGGCGTAGTGATGATGTAGTCGGGTGTGTGGCACCACCACAGCACGGATGACTTCTCAGGAATGGTCACCATGATCAACCGACCCCAGCACTTGCCGTGGACTAGCGCCACTACCGCCAGGAGCCACCACCAGAGGTAAGTGTCCTTCCTACACTCCAGTTCTTGCTTGTGCATTCCTCACCCCACCATTCCTGCTTGATGGGGTTCTGGGAGTACTCTACTCCCCAAGCCCTTCCGTCTCGCCTTCCCTCCATCCTCTCTTCCATCCATGTTGTCCACATCCCCTCACCTATCTTAGGGCGGATTCATATCCTGTAATTATATTTGGTGTGGATGTGTTTACAGATGTAATAGGTCACTCGTAGAAACGCTTGTCCATCTAACCCGTCCTCTTAAGAGTTAGTCGCATTTTGACGTATTGACATACTGTCCCGTTTTCTGTTTTGGGTCTTCTGGTAGGTTAGGATAAAGGCAATTTACTACGATAGTTTTTTGACGGTGGGAAACCTTAGGAGGACGGTGCTGGCCCATCAGTGTGTGGGGGAGAGGGTGAGCCAGCGGGTGCTGAAGTATCCCTGGTCTACACCTTCCTTGTGGTACTCGTGTGGGTAAACTTGAACTTCAGACTTCAGGAGGAGACATTGGCTAGCGTGGAGTGGTGGTGTGAGGCAGGTGTGTGGAGTGGTGGTATGAGGCAGGTGTGTGGATGGAGCGGGTACACCTCCACCAGCTGGGCTAGGATACTTTCAGCACTTATGTGCAATAAGCACTTATGTAACAATTCACTTAGGGTATATTACACTAACAGTAGAAGTCTAAGAAATAAAATTAACGAATTAAATGCTCTTGTCTGCACAGAAAAAATAGATATTATTGCACTTACCGAAACGTGGATGAATGTAGAAAATAGAGAACTATTAGCTGAATATCAAATATATGGATTTAAACTATTTCACACAGATAGATATATAGACGAGGAGGTGGAGTAGCCATATATGTTAGGGACAATTTGAAATGTAGTCTCAAAGAGGGAATCAAAACAGAGCCACACACAGAAACTATTTGGATTGAATTAAACGAAAAAGCTAATAATATTATAATAGGAGTAATATATAGGCCACCAAATTTAGACAGAATGGAAGCAAAGCATCTATGGGATGAAATATCTAGAGCATCTAGATCTAACAGTATTTATGTCATGGGTGACTTTAATTTTAGCGGAATAAACTGGTTGAACAAAACAGGGAATAGTGAAGCAGAAGATTTTCTAGAATTAATTGACGATTGCTTTCTTACGCAACACATTAAGGAACCAACACGGGAAAATAATATTTTAGATTTAGTGTTAACTAACAGGGAAACGCAAATTAATGACATCGAAATAGGGAGTGAGCTAGGGAGCAGTGATCACAAAGAAATCAGATTTAGCATAGAATGGAATAGACCAGTAGGAGAAAATTCTGTTAAAGTGCCAGATTTTCGAAAAGCTGATTTTAATAGCCTAAGAAATTTTTGGGTCAAATTGATTGGAAAGGCTTGGGTATGGGGTGTGGGCCGGTCTTGGAGCGAGACATGAACCCAGCGATAGGTGACTTAAATGGGGATTTCGATGTGGATTCAATATATAACTTATTTAAGAATATTCTAAACAAAGCACAGGAACGTAGTATACCATACAAATTGAATAGATCGTATACTAATGACCCAAAGTGGATAACAAAGAATTTGAAGAACCTTATAGGTAAAAAGAGAGCTTGGTACAAAAGGATTAAAAATGGGGAGGTCACTTTAGAACAGGAATTCGTACAACTGGTTAGAAATGTTAAAAAAGAGATAAGGAAAGCAAAAAGAAACTATGAAGTTCGCATAGCAGGGCAAGCAAAGACAAATCCTAAAGGGTTTTTTCAGTTATATCGTACTAAGACTAGGGAAAGGATAGGTCCATTAAAAACTGAGACAGGTCAAATAACAGATAGTGATGAAGAGATGAGTAGTATTTTTAATAAATATTTTGTATCTGTATTTACTAAAGAGGAACTTAACAATATGCCTTCAGCCGAACAAGTCTATGTGGGTGGGGACGAGGACAGGTTGACGAGTTTAGCAGTTACCAGGGAGGATGTTCTTAAACAAATAGTAAAACTCAAACCAAACAAATCCCCAGGGCCGGATGAAGTGTTTGCTAGGGTGCTTAAAGAATGCAAAGAGGAGCTTTGTGACCCACTGTCAACCATATTTAGTAAATCAATAGAGTCAGGCAGAGTGCCAGAGTTTTGGAAAGTTGCTAATGTGATACCAGTTTTTAAGAAAGGAGATAGATCACTTGCGTCTAACTATCGACCAATTAGCCTAACGTCTATTGTGGGAAAGTTACTCGAATCTATAATAGCAAATAAAATTCGTCTTCATCTTGAAAAACATAAATTAATAATTGAGTCGCAACATGGTTTTATAAATGGCCGTTCATGTTTAACAAATTTGTTATCTTTTTATTCTAGCATTGTTGAGGCAGTTGATAGTGGTAAGGATTGCGATGTTGTATACCTTGACTTTAGCAAAGCTTTTGATACAGTGCCACATGAAAGACTGATTAAAAAAATAGAGTCATGGTATTGGGGGTGCTATATTAAGCTGGATTAGGGCATGGCTATACCAAAGGAAACAGAGAGTTAGTATAAATGGAATCAAGTCAGAGTGGGAAAATGTTGTAAGTGGAGTGCCTCAAGGCTCTGTCCTGGGACCTCTGTTGTTTATAATATATATAAATGATTTAGATTCAGGTTTGAGTAGCAACATTTGCAAATTTGCCGATGATACGAAAATCGGTAGGGAAATTAATTCGGAGGAGGACTCACTATCACTTCAAGTTGATCTAGATAGGGTTTTGAAATGGTCAAAGGATTGGCAGATGCAGTTTAATGCTGATAAATGTAAAGTTCTGAGGTTAGGTAATGATGATAGAGTTACAAGATACGAGCTAGATGGTGTTGTGATTGCGAAGTCGGATTGCGAAAGGGATCTGGGAGTTATGATTAGTAAGAATTTAAAACAAAAGGATCAATGCATAAATGTTCGTAATAAGGCAAATCGGACACTTGGATTTATTAATCGCAGCGTTAGTAACAAGACACCTGGTGTGGTTCTCAAGCTATATCTTGCTCTAGTTAGGCCCCATTTAGATTATGCAGTTCAGTTTTGGTCGCCATATTATAGAATGGATATAAATTCACTTGAACGTGTCCAGCGTAGGATGACTAAGTTAATTCCCCAAATTAGAAATCTTTCATATGAAGAAAGATTAACAAAGCTTAAGTTGCATTCACTGGAAAGGCGAAGAGTTAGGGGTGACATGATAGAGGTTTACAAGTGGATGAATGGACATAACCGGGGGGATATTAATAGGGTATTAAAAGTATCAACACAGGACAGAACACGAAACAATGGATATAAATTGGATAAGTTTAGATTTAGGAAAGACTTGGGTAAATACTGGTTCAGTAACAGGGTTGTTGATTTGTGGAACCAATTGCCGCGTAACATTGTGGAGGTGGGGTCCCTCGATTGTTTCAAGCACGGGTTGGACAAGTATATGAGTGGGATTGGGTGGTTATAGAATAGGAGCTGCCTCGTATGGGCCAATAGGCCTTCTGCAGTTACCTTTGTTCTTATGTTCTTATGTTCTTATGTATCCCCTAAAGAGCCACCTTACAGGGACCACCTTTTCACCGCTGTGTTGTGTGTTCATGTATAAAGAAAGAGGTGTTTAATGGTGTAAATCAAGTGCCTTGTGTTACTAGGCCTCGTGCTCTGGTGCCGGGTTTATGGCAGCCTTGTATCAGTCACTGTCATCAGGTGTGGTTGGCTTGTGTGGTATTTCCACTACGAACATGCCTAAATGAGGCCACTTTAAAATTGTGCCACCACCACCACCACCGCTGCCTACTGCGGTGGCACACAGCCTATTATATAAACAATTAACAGGATAAGTACAGAAAGTTCAAATAGAAACATCTTGGCACATAGGTTGGTATACCCATGAGAGTTTGGAAGCCGAGTTGAACTGTGTGGTGGGTCAATGTCGGAAGAGTTCAAGTATGTTTATTGAGACAAGAAAGAAATACACCTCAAAGGGATAGAGTAGCTTAGGCTATTTCTACCCTCCCCCCCCCTTCCCTGTCGGAAGAGATTACAACGCTGGAAAGTGAGACCATGGGTCGGCGCCGCGACGTTTGGAAGTGTTGGCGTGTTGTGGGGAGTCCCAGTGCTTCCCGGGATGTTCTCCAGTACTGTGACGTCTCTGACTCAGACGCTGCCTCGCCTCTCAGTGCTGCTTGTGGTAAAGATAGACTGAAGAATGTTGTTGTATAGATTCAGCTACTCGGAACAAGTTCCAAGTAGCACGGGCTATGGTGATCCCGTAGTGGACTTACCTGGCACAGGAGTGGTGCCATATGATGTGATGCGACTGAAGAAGCTGGAGAAGGTTCACAATGAAGAAATTGATCTTGGGATGCCCAACAAATGCTATGATTGAGGTAATGGGTGATGGTATTATAGAGTATTGGGGATAGAATTTCTGAGATAAATGTAGTGTCGGTAATTAGACTATTGAGGGTCGTGGGAGCTAATGGATTAATCCTCTCAGGTCAAAATGTGGCAAGAAATACACAATCTATCATAAAGCAGCTGCGAGCAGCCGCGTCCAACAGCCTGGTTGTTCAGTCCAGCAACCAGGAGGCCTGGTCGACGACCGGGCCGCGAGGACGCTAAGCCCCGGAAGCACCTCAAGGTGACCTCAAGGTAAGTAATTAAAGAGGGTGTATGAGAAGTGTGTTACAAAGTAATATGTCTTGCAAGATTGTATTGCAATGCATAAAGAGCAATTACCACCACCCATGGAAGGGATGTAACGCGGAGGTGGGGATCATGTCCCTGCTCAAGAACAATAGTGTGGACGTATGAGACAGGGCGGTTGAGGCCAATATATGATTGCGTAATTAGAAAATTATCTTAAACATTATGTTTATTGGACAAGTATAGATTTAGGAAAGACCTGGGTAAATACTGGTTCGGTAACTGGGTTGTTGATTTGTGGAACTAATTACCGCGCAACATAATAGACGTAGAATCCCTTG